CCCACACTCCCTTTACCAGTGCTTGGCATGTTGTAGACACTCAAAAATTTTCTATTTACCACACTTTCTTACTCTAAGTTTTTTTTCATTAAGTTACTGCAGATATTTAATATTCTTGACTACACTTAACACCACCTTGGTTCAACTATCCTTGGGTTCACCGAAATACAGAGAAAAGCATATATTTACTGATTTTAGCACATCCTTTACATGTCAGATGACCTAGGAAATTAGTGTATTTCTGGGACATAAGTAAAAGAGATAAATAATTATGGCTTATCCATTGTCTCGCAGGTAATGATGCAGTTTGTTTATTCCTCGGCCCTTTCCTACTTCTGGAAGAGTAGGCTGGCCATGTGTTCATAACTTCAGGCAATAGAGAGTATAAATTAATAGTTTTTAGGAAATCTCAATACTATCAAATAGAAATCATCCTTCTTACACACCAAGTGTTAAATTGAAAGAAAACATTCAATGATCTAAAATGGTAGAGGGGGAACACTTTTAATGGAATATTCAACGTTAATTTGTCTCCCTTGGCTGCCAATATAGTGCTATGAAATATAAATTCGACGGATCATACTTTTTTTAAGAAAAGCAGCTCCAAGAAAAAATATATGAAATTAAATGTAAAGCTCACACCCTAAGGAAATGTGAATATTCCATTATCATCTTCAATTCTTTGATTTGAGCAATTGGTCTGCTTGTTAATATAGCACTCCTGACCCATGACTACCATCTCAACCTCTAAATAACTTCCTATTTCCTATAATCCTCCATATAGCTGGTGGTGTGAAGATTAAAGCTTAGCCAATTAGCCACCCACTACAGCCAGTTAATCACATAATCTTTGAGATGGTCAGGGAGAGTGGGGGATGCAATGATTTTTTTTCTCTCTCTCTCTTTACAAAGATTTAACTAATTGTGAGACTTGGCGACTCTCTCTAATAGAAAGGGCAGTTGGGTTTTCAATCAGAAGCTGTGTCACCGCTTTATAAAGTTAGGGCTTATCTGCTTCTAAGAGACATTGTTACACAGAGACTTCTTTAACAAGTTTCCAAATACCCTCAATTAGTCAACCACTGCTTATTTAGACCTGAGTCTCACATCAAGGCTTACTGCCTGAGAATAATGATCAGTAATCCGTAAGGTAAAAACTCAGATTCCATCACATGAGAGCTACACATTCAATTATGGGATTGCTACACTTGTGTCTGTTTAAGGGAAATGCTAATCTGAACTGAAGTTTGACAATGCTCTCCTCTCCTTAATAAGGCCACATATGAGGAGGGAGAGAAAAGAGGAGGAAAGGGAGGGGAAAAGGGCCCCAGGAAATGAAGGATGGGGAAGAGAAAGAGCGCAAAGGTTAGGGGTGAGAGAGGAGGAGGACACTGAGGAAACAGGAGAGGAAGATGGAAGAGTTCAGGAGGACAGAGAGGCTCACTCAGTTCTCAGGGAGTCCGGGCTGGGTCAACTCTTGCAGTGTTGCTGCCAGTTATTATGGGGCTTTGAATGCCCAATGAGCAGATTACCGCCAGTTCTCCAACAGTACATGGTTGGTGATAGTCTAGCATAAATGACAAAAGGTGCCAGAGAGAGTAGGTCCAGAACATTTTCAAGGTCTGGTGAGGCTTTCTGATGCCTGTGAGTCGTGACCTACAGGAAAGACATGAGCCACCCATCTGCCTATACCCCTAGTGACAAGGCAACCCATGTTGATATCAAGAAGGACAGAAGCCATCAAAAATGCTGGACGAATCCAGAGATTAGACAAGCAACCAAAGATGTTGGAGGAGCCCAGAACTAGGAACTGACCTACAGGAGTAGTGAAGAAGCCTCTGTGAGTCACTGGAGACATCAGAGCAGGGGCGACAATGAGGTTTCTCCAGGGACAGAGCTGAGAGGGCCCTGATGAGGCCTCAGAAATGACTGGACAGCCAGGAGAGCAAGGCTGAACCAGGAACCCAAACTGGTCACTTCTACAACTGAATTCAGAGCCTCAGAAGGACAGATCCAAGCAAAAGAGTTATTCAGGTATGGGAAGCTGGGGAAGGAAGCGGGGATTCAGGGGTGTTAGTCACTCAGTCGTGTCCGACTCTGCGATCCCCATGGACTGTAATCTGCCAGGCTCCTCTGTCCATGGAATTCTCTGCGCAAGAATACTGGAGTGGGGTGCCATTTCCTTCTCCAGGGGATCGTCCTGACCTGGAGATTCATGGAGTAGGGAAAAAAGGCAAAAATAACACTCAGGTATGGGCAGGTGAGTGAAATCAAAGACTGGAAACTCTGGCTTCAAATCTGAGACAATCTTCTTCCAGCAACCTACCTGACCTTAATGAGTGTTAAGTATTAGTGTTCATGCATTCACTCATCCACACACACACGTACTATCAAACTCTGAAACTGATTAGCCTTAGGATCTAGTGCAAGTTACTTGACCCCTCTGAGCCTCAGTTTCTCTTCTATAAGGTGGGATGTTATAAAGATCTCCTAAGCACAGGCACCTATAGCCTGGCATGGGGCCTGGCATGGAGAAAACACACAGCAGATGGTAGCTATCAGTGCTCATCAGACCCCATGAGGGAAAGAAATGGTTTCAGCGGTTTCTAACTGTTCTCACCCCCACCGGAGCTCCCCCCAGACTACTCACTCATTCAGACTCTGCAAGTATATTGTCCGGACACTTTTTTTTCTTTAAAAATATTTTTTTATAAGCCTTGTGGGTGATTGAGTGCCATAATTAAGAGCAAGTGATACAAAACAGTATTTGAGCTGGAAGGGGCATTCAAACCAAACTGAGGATCTTGTTAAAATACAGACTCCACTCAGGAGGGCAGAGGTGGGGTCTTAGACCCTGCATTTCTAACAGGCACCCAGGTGAAGATGACCCGACTCGCGAGCAAACAGTGCTTTAAATAGCAAAGAAAGATTATCAAAGGAGAGAAGAGGAGTGACCAAAAACAAAAAAAGAGAAGGAGGTGACAAGTGATAAAAGAAACTTTTATATACTGAAATTTAGGGAAGTCATTCTGGCCTACAGATTTTCATGGGGGAGGATAAAGATGAGTTAACTTGAATTTTATGCTAAAACAGCCTGTTTGTGGCTGATCTAACACCCATTGTACATCTGCTCTATTTATTAAAGAAAAGGGCATACTGACCTGAAGTAAAGAATGTCCATGTTAAAAATAAAGATGCAATGCCCCTCTTCCTGGGATACCAATGATGGTCCTCCTTTGAGGATAAGCGACTCCCTTCCCAGGTGCCAAGGCCATGCTGACTCCCTGTGTATGTTCTGGTCTTTTTTTTTTTAAACCTTGAAGAAATGTATCCCTGACTCTTTTAGTGTTCTTTGTTCTTGCAAGATATAAAACTGCTAAAAAAAAAACCCTGCATCTCTGGACAGTTTCTTAGAGTAACCTGGGAAGCTGGCTTGGGGGCTAATCCTCAGTTTGGCTCAAATGAAACTTTTCTACTCTTATTACTGTTCATTATTTTCGTCAACAAGGGAGAGAGGAACCAAAAATCAACCATACATCCCCCCACCCCACCCCACAAAGACCTAAGGCCTAAACTGGCCCCTCGACATCATTAAATGATGGTGAAGAGAAGAAGAACCTGACACACGGAAGGCTCTCACCACACAGTCATCTCCACGACAGAGGAGGAAGATTTCCATGCCTTCTCCTCCCACCATCACCTCTCTCTACCGGGCCCTTCCTCACCCAGGAAGCTTCCTCCCTCGCCGTGATACTTTGAGTGCGTTTCTGAACCTCAAGGTAAAGGTCCACGCCCGCAGACGGTACTCTCTACTCACCTTGCAAGACCTTCTCGCTCATGGGTTCTTTTTCACCAACCCTGAATCACCGCTTTCATCCTCAAACTTCTACTCCTGCATCCGCCCGAGAAGGCTCGGGTACCATGATGGATTAGCCCCGCTCACTGGAGGCCTCCCCGTCCGTTTACAAACCCTGCCCAGCACCCAACTCCTCCTTCCCTGACTTTAGGCCTTAGGTCAAAGAAACAACGCTAAGATTTCCTCTAGCTTCCTGGAATTTCATCACTTCCTCTTTACAAACCTAGAATCCCAAGCTCCTGAGAAGACTGGAACGGACAAGAAGCTGCTTCATCCTCTTTGGGTCACCCTCTGGCAGTGGTTCTCCAGCCTCTGACTGCAGACCAGAGGTACCTGGGACCACTCTAGGACCACGCCCTCCATGCCCCGCCCCCCATTAAAATAAAAAAACCATTACCCTTGGGAAGCCATATTATTTCTAACCAGGAACAAGCTGCTGCCCCTACAATGAAAACCCCATCCCTCGTGGGCAAGGCTGGGAGAGGCAGGTTTCATCCTGATCTCATTTGTGATGGGTCCCTTAATGTGGTGAAGGGGGTTCTAGAGGCAGCCGTGGAGGCCAGTTCTAAAGATGTCACAGTTCATACTTTATTAACCTCAACCCGGAAAGCTCGACCTCCTCCTCTGTCTGAGTCTTTTGCCAAAGTCGGGTGCAAAGCAGCCGACAAACTCCATCGAGTGTGAAACACGCTCTGGCAAAGATCAGAGAAGCAGCCAAGGGCCCCCACTCCTCTAGTCCTATAAGCCATGGACTACACAGCCTTTAGGACACATTTCTCCAAGTCAATTAAAAAAAAAACAAACATCATTTTCCAACACAGATAAGAACATGATGTCCAGAGTTTAAAAGGCAGCTAACACAGCAAAAGCTCAACCAGGGAATGAAGAGACATTTTCTGACTTCGTCTGTATTCTATCCAAATAACCATCTTCCAAAATGGGATTCAGCCGAATGTACCTGGTTTACTCAAACCCAGAAACTTAATGAAAACCATGCTGAACAGAAAATGACAGTCAAGCACTACAAATGAACAGACAGGATATATTTTACCAGATAAAGAAATTAAGCCCTTCAGGAAACAACTGTAATTGCTGCAAGTAAGTTTCGCCCACTGCTTAATCCCTGTAAAGGAAAGCATCATACCTGATAAGATCGGGTTCTGCACCCTCGTTCTTAAAGGAGGCCAGAAGTAGTCTCTCTCGAGTTACAAGATCATCCAAGAGGTTCTGTCTTCGGTCTCCTTCGAGCTGTGTTCTGCAGGCGACTCGTTAAGGTCCAAGAGTAGGTGAATTACCTCATTTGATCTATTACGTTATTAACCGAGCTCTCCAAGTCAGAGGGGACTGTTACAGACTTGAATCAACCCTACCCCGAAGAGGCCTGAGGCAGCGCTCTCCTGCTCTGATCTCAGCCTTCACTGACCCTTCCGGTAAAGGACCTGGACAGAACCATCGCAGAGGACTTACAAACACTGAACCAGATCCACCATGTGAGATGGTTCACTGAGAAGTACAGTTGGTAAAAATGATTTTCCTCCCAGTGGCCAACCCTGAAATGTTCTTCTCTACAGCACACTGTGGCTCAGGGAATCAAGTTCTGACTGCTGGTCACAGTGGTCAAGGGTTTTTCCTAGACATTAATACCTAAGATACTTTGTTAAAAAGGAAAAAAGGAAAAAAAGAGAGCTTTCTTTGTTGTCCTCTTTCTTTCATATTATTAACAGCTATTAATGCACCTGCAATATATGTTGTAAAGTGCTACTTTATACAGCAGATTTGCTCTTTAAAAAGCTGTTACCATCAGCTCACTAAATACTTTGCATGATCTTTAATAATTCTAAACAAAATTACAAAGAAATAACCATATTTTAACATGTTAATCTATGATCTGTGCTAGACTAGGGGTCCAAAAGCCTACTAGTTCTGTTTTGATCATTATCCATGGTCTTGACCAATTATTTCAGTGTTTTGGATCTGTTTCTTCAGATGTCACCCAGGTAATCTCTCATACCTTCTCCAACACAACTCATGGCCATGGTTTTCCCAGTTCTAGTTAAAGAGTGGGACTACTGGTTTGGATTTATGGATTTACAGATACTTCTCCTTTTGAAAGGGATATTAAATCCTGCATTTAGGCCTCATAAGTTTGAGAACTTGGCAGAATATAGTAGTTTTCCCTGGGTGGGAAAACCACGGCCCAGTGAATCTACTTTTGTTGATAATTTTGAATAGAAAGAGCTGGATAGCTAGCAAAAAAAGCAAATAAACCCATAAAAAAAATGTTCTCCGGTAACAGATATTAGCTAGAAAAATCATAAACCCCCCCTAAACCAATGTAACTAAGCAGCGTTACTGACTCTAGACATTTATAAAATAATAACGGATACACTCTCTCAACATCCCAGAATGCCCCGATTTCCTGAGAAAAATGACTGCTATGCCTTTTCCATCTCCTACTTGACTACGGTCACTAAGAACCCCTCTTGGAAACAGTGGAGCAGCAACTGTAACTAAGAAACAGTGAGCAAGTCCTTCCTCTGTACTAATGAAAAGGCCAAATATTAGCCTTCTGATCAGTGCAACATCAAAAATAAATACCAGTGTGTTTCACATCAGTGGTAAATTGTCAGTAAAGCAGAAGGGGCCCCTGGGGAGGGGAAGGGACAGAAGCTATGACATAAATTATACAGGACAAAACAGGAATTTTAATTGTGGAAATTACTAATTATACCACAGTGCTGATTAGCCTTGTCTTCCATTCTATGCTCAACCTACTCTGGCAACCTGTGGTTTTGCTGGGATTTCAGTTATCAAACCCTCCAAGTGAGTAGAAACTCAACGATAATCCAATATTACAATTAAGCAGATTACAGATCTGACTGGCTCACGGGTTTAAACATAAGAAATAAAATTACAGAAGTATCATTAGAAAACGCCTTTGGAGAAATTTCTAATACTCTAGAGTAAGGAAAATCTTCCTAGTCGACAATGTCAACCCAGAGGTCATGAAGGAAACTATAAATCTTTATAAAACTTTTAACTATCTGCAAAATAAAAGTACAAGTGGCAAATTAATAGTGGCAAATTTTAAAACAGCAAAGGATATAACAGGGCATTTGGGGGAAAAAAACCAAGAATTATGCTAATAACTGAAAAAAAATGCAGTTTTACATTAGTGAAAGAAATGCAAATTGAAACATACTGTCATTTTTGCCAACCAGATAAGAAACCGTGACAGAAGGCTCTGGAAAGGGCTGAGGAACTGAGCACTCTCAGACATCCTAGGTGGGGATGGTGATGGGGTCAACCAGTTGCCAGACTGTCTTCTACACACCTAACAAAATTTAAAAGGCACATTCTTTTAACAGGAATTTCTCCTACAGATATAGTCACAAGACTATACAAAGATGTAGGAGCAGGGAATTCCCTAGTAGTCCAGTGGCTAGGACTCCGCGCTTTCACTGCCCAAGGTCTGGGTTCAATCCCTGGTTGGGGAACTAAGATCCCACAGGCCACCACTTAGTGCAGCCAGAAAAAAAGAAAGGTGTTCACTGCAGCATTGTTTATAATAGCCAAACACGGGAAACATTCTAAGGTCTGTCAATAAGGAAATAGCACAACTCGACAATGGCATGTTTTGTAGTTACCTCCCCCACAAACAGAATAGGAAAGCCCTGTATGTATCGATGATAATGAAAATTAACATTTATGAGCAATTACTAAGTGCTACATAAATTATTTGATGTGGAACAATCTTCAAAATAAAGTGTTAAACAAAAACAAAAAGCAGCAAAGAGCTAAATGGTGAGTAGTATGCTCCCACTGCATGCATTAAAAACATATGTTGGTAAACACAGAAAATTTCTCAAAGGATATAGAAACAATTGCCTCTAAGGAAAGGGAACCGGGGACTCAGGGTGTAAGGGAGACTTCCTATCCACTGGGTATTGTTTTGGACTGTTTGACTCCATTAAATGCTATCTAACAAAAAGTTTCCGAACAAAATATATGATATGATCCTTCTGTAGTCAAAAGCATTTTATATTTACATGTACACATATCTGTTCATGCCTAGAAAAGTCTGTGATAACAGGAACCAATCACCAACACTGTTAACTGTGGAAGAATGAGCTAGAACAGGATGGGGATGCAGAAGTGAGAGAAGAGTCACTGGTAGAAACTAAAAACAAAAAATGTATGGATAGAGGGACTTCCCTTGTGATTCCTGTGGCTGAGAATCTGCCTTGCAACGTAGGGGATTCAGGTTCGAGCCCTGGTTGGGGAATTAAGATCCCACATGCTGAAACTACTGCAGCCTGTGTGCTGAGCCCATGGATCACAACTAAGATCCAACAGACCCAAAAGATATTTTTTAAAAAAGGAAACTGACAGGTAGAGAGTACCTTTTATAGAAAAAGTAAAGGTAAGTTTTAAAATTTAGCAGACACTGAATTTAAACTATTAATTAACCAACAAAGGACATCAATTTTAAGAGCAGTAAAACTTGGTGATTATGTTTTGAAGAGGAGGAGTAACTGGAGAACAGAATCACAGACAGCTGATGCTGGGACAGGTAAATCAAATCTCTTGTTCACCCGACCGGAAACCATGGCAACAGTGGGTGAGAGCCCAGCTCTTTCTCTCCACCTCATGTAGGGCTTCTCTACCCTGAGGCCCCCAGTACTGCTCACTTAACTTTGCCACTTCTTAGCATCCTGTTAATAACAATACTGGTAATATTAATTCAGAAAATTCCAGAGATCCCCTGTAAATCTGGAACACCTGGAAAACGAATCAGGAACACTCACTCTACCTCCTGGTTTTGTTTTTATTTTTTAATTTTTTTTTCATTTATTTTCATTAGTTGGAGGCTAATTACTTTACAACATTGCAGTGGTTTTTGTCATACATTGAAATGAATTAGCCATGGATTTACATGATGTTTTTATTTTAATCTATTGAGGGAACAGAGCATAAGGAGACGGGGGATAGAGGGAGCTGAAGAGAATAAAAGGATGCACAGCCCTTCTGCATGGCACACTTACTATAATGTAAGTGGTTGCTAACGAGAGGTCAGAGAATCATCTAGAAGGTAATGACACTCCATGGATGTGGGCTCATGGTAGCCGGGGGGGGAGCGAGTACGGGGTAAGGAAGGACAAGCAAAAAACAGGGCAGATGGTCAGAGGCCAGTGCTGGGACCCTCTCCTCCAGCAACCTGGTGAATAACCAAGGAGGAAGATGAGAGAACAGACAAGGAAACAGAAGATTCAACCGCCATAGTACTGTCATTGGCCAAACTGAATTTACATGTAATTATAACCAGTTCATGCAAGGTTGCAAATGAAACTAGATCCTGATTTTGCATCACTGTGCTTCAGAGTCCAGCTTCTCTGCTATAACCTGGGAAGCACTTCCAACCTAGGATGGAGAGGGGTGAAGATAGGGCTGGACCCAGGGAACACCCCATTCCCTCCCCCACTTCCAGCTCCTAGAGTTCCTCCTTATTGGTAGAAGGCATAAGAATTTAGCAAGTCTTCCGTGCAAATTAATTGCTTTGGAGAAGGATAATTACTCCCAGAGGCACAAGAAGAATTGCATAGGCTCCCAGAGGCCAGATTTTTCTGGCTCACATAGCACTTCAACTCTTTCATTTTTATTTATTATTTGCTTTCAGGGGGAGTCCCTGGTGGCTCAGATGGTAAGGAATCTGCCTGTAACGCAGGAGACCTGAGTTCAATCCCTGGGACAGGAAGATCGTCCAAAGTTAACAAACTCTACTGAGTGTCTATTATGGACCAGCCCAGGTGCCTACCTTCCTCAAAGCACTGATCACATTTTGCAAGTAGCATTTTAATACTATCATTATCTGCATGCCTGGATGTACCCTCCTTATGTGTTATAAACTCCATAAAAGGGTACCTGTAAATTCTCCACATTAGCTGTAATTTTAACAGTGATAATATGGTAAGCAGCAGTTAATCCTCGAGGAGGGCTTACTTTATGCAAAGCACCTTCTATGCATATAATTTAATCCTCCCAACAGTGCTATAAGCTGGATGTACTTTATCCTTTTTTCACAAATTAAGAAAACAAGGCACAATGAAGTTAAGTAACTTGCCCTCGAAGAGTTAAACACTTTTATCCAACATCAACGATTATGGGGGAACTTGTCCTGTGAGATGCTTTAAATATAGCATTTTCTTCAACTTTCACAACAGCCTGCAAAGCAAGTCTGATTATTTCTACTCTGTAGATAATGAAACTGAGGTCAAGAAAGGCCACGTTGCTCTCTGGCCTTGAGGCAGCAGTGGAGCTGGTCTTCTATCTCAGTTCTGTTTGCCACCAAAGCCAGTGTTGTTCCCAGTGTTCCAACAGTGCCCAGACTTAGGGGTTTCATGGAGCAGAAGTATTTCCAAACAAACTGTGGGGGTGGGGAGGGGGGATTTATATAGACTGATTATATACTTTGCCATTTATGTGGACATTCCAAAAACCACAACAGACAAAACTCTCATCTGCTTTTACTACCATGGTGAAAAAGCAAGATGTTAACACTCGAAACCAGAGAGAACCATGTAACAGACTATAAATCAGAAAATTCCTACTGAAATAAAAATGACCTTGTCCTTAATAAATGACCTTGTCCAGACACCAGTGAAAACTGTCATGGCCAGGTGCAGTGTTTTAGAACCACTTCCTCACTACTGGGGCACTCAGAGGCTATTCTTAAAGCCTATCCAGTGAGCTCCTCCACACCTACATGTATCCATTGATCCAGGTTTGTTACATGGGGCATCTCTCCAGCCAGCTACCTGTCTACTCATCTTTCTTCCCCCAAAAAAACAAAGTGGAACAGGGTTATGTATCCATTTTTTAAAAAAGATTATTTTTTCTATGTGGACCATTTTTTAAAGCCTTTATTGAATTTGTTACAATACTGCTTTTTTTTTTTTTTGCTTTTATTGGCTGCAAGGCATGTGGGATCTTAGGGTTTGAACCTACATCCCCACTATTAGAAGACAAAATCTTAACCACTGGACTGCCAGGAAAGTCCCCTTTTTATCAATTCTTACAAAATTATTTCTCCAGACTTCTCACAAGAGACCAAAATAGCTTTTGATACTGAACTCCTTTGTAAAGTTATTTTCTAAAAATTCCTTTCAAAGTACTAAAAGTGCTGCCTTTGAAAAACCCAACAAAAAGACAAGCTTCATGTAAAACTAATTCTAAGAATAACCTTAGTGCTACCTGAAATTTCCTATGCGACCTCCTGTTGCACATAGCTTTTCTCAACTGGTGAGACCATTATAATCACCGTCTCCAAGAAGAACTGTGAATAGAAGTTAATGCTTCTCAGCAATTTTCAACTCTCTGGCTGCAGGACTTTGGATTATGAATTGCAAGCTAAACGATTCGAAAGCACGCCACTTTCATTTTAATTTCACATTTATTTCTGCCAGAGAAAAATACTTTTTCAGGAAAGAGCAGTAACATCTTATGCCTAACATCCCAGAATTTAATTGTTTGGAAGGCATTTCATAGGACTTATCTTTCTGGCAGCTCCTAGTGTTCGTTGGAAAACTTCACGAATGCAGAGAGGCATAAATTTCTTAAGTCAGGTACCAGAAACTCTCGACTGCCCAACACAGTAAGGAAATGTGGTTTCCAAATATTCACATTAAAAAAGTCACCCCACATTAATTATGCCTCAAGAAAAAGGATTAAAAAGTCACTCTCTTGGCGATTTATGGACACACATTTTTCTAAGAATTACAACATCATAAAGTATACCTAATAAACCACAGTGAAGACTGTTTAATCTTTCTGATGATTAAGAAGGGTCTTGAGGATTTGCATTATAAACAAGATTTGTCTTGGCATTACAGCAACACACCAAGTAATAGGGGAATTCTCACTGAAGACAGGTCATGTGACGGTGGACTGTATTCTATCACTAAAGTAGAATTCAGCTTTTAAACAACTGGCTTTGGGTCCAGACAGCCCTGCGTTGGAATCTTGGCTTTCCATTTCTCAGCGGAGGTGACTTAGGCAAGTTACTTAAGCTCTTAAAGATTCTTCTCCTGGGTGTGAAGAAAACTCCTCTGCTGGAATGCTGAAAGTAAAAGTTATTAATTTACATCAGTGACTTGAGGCACAAGCTGGCCTTGGCCTCAGTACCTTTTTTGTAAAGAAGGGAAAGAACCCACCCAAACAGTCTAACAATACGAGGCTACCAGGCCTGACAAGTGGCTATTAGATACATCTTAAATCTGGATGATAACTGCCCTACAATTAACTCAGATAACCGCCATAGAATTATCTTAAATGTTTGGGAAGAGGAAGGTCAGGGAGAGGGAAGATGTGAGAAACCAGACAGTAATTAAATAGAGGCCTTTGGAGTACAGAAGCTACCTCCTCCTTCCCTTCTAAGAAACGGTCTCCCTGAAAATTGAGGTTAATGAGCGCCCCCTGGTGGCTCAGACGCGGTTTGGACCGATCCCCTGGAGAAGGAAACGGCAACCCACCCTAGTATTCTTGCCTGGAGAATTCCATGGGCAGATTAGCCCGGTGGGCTACGGTCCATGGGGTCGCTAAGAGTGGGACATGACTGAGTGACTAACACTTTTACTTTCCCATAGGGCGATTCTCTAAATTCCATCCCTAGCTTCGGTTGCTGTTCCAGCAGAAAGAGGCCCGATTATTTAAAAACAAAACAGAATCTTCAAGAAAGTTGTTATATTCCAGTTGAGTGTTTGATTTCTCCTAGGAAAGTCTAAATTATTCACATGATGGTCCTTAAATACTTTCATAATATATTTAATAACTCGGTTTGGTGTTTTTAAATGTCTGGTGCTTAATTCAGCAAATTCTGAGATCACCACGAAACCAGAGGCCACAAGATTTCAAAATATGGTTAGACTGCAAGCATTTAGAAGAACAAAGTAAATTATTACTGTACCATGCTTGGTACACCTTATAATTAATAACTAGCAGATATTATTAATAGAAGAAAGTAACATTAATTTACATCTTCTTGCACCATAGGTTTAACATATAAATATTATAAGATGTGCTATGTCTGGGGGTTTCCCAGGGGGTGCTAGTGGTAAAGAATCCACTGCAATCCAGGAGACATCAGAGACACAGGTTCGATCCCTGAGTTGGAAGATCCCCTGGAGGAGAGCATGGCAACCCACTTCAGTATTCTTGCCTGGAGAATTCCCATAGACAGAGGAGCCTGGCAGGCTACAGTTCATAGGGCTGCACGGATTTGGACACAACTGAAGCGACTTAGCACACACACACATTATAAGATGAGGAATAATCAGTTACCTATTAGCAAATACAGTTGTTATTAGATCAGGAAACAATATTCAGCTATGTTTCTAATATATGATTTAGGTAATACTAAAATGAGTTTGCACACCTTGATCCCATGTGCAGACTTCCAAGCACTTGGTAAAGAAAACAGCTCTGCTAACTTGAGGTCAATGTATTAAAACGTGTGGATTTTGATAAAATAAAAATTCCTTACATAATAAACTAATTGGGCAGTAACAAATAATACCAGACAGAGGGTAAAGTTACAAACTAAACATATCAGAATGCTCTAATTGTGTTAAAAATAAGGCCTCAATTGTTCACTGAAATTAAACTTTTATTTGAAACCTTACTGGGTAAAAAACTGAATACTAGAAATCATGCAACTATCTAAACCAACCTCTCTGGTGACATATAAGGATGATATTTGGAGAAAAATACATTTTTACAACATCTTCTATTGTTTTATCTGCTGCTGCTGCTAAGTTGCCTCAGTCGTGTCCGACTCTTAGCGACCCCATGGACTGCAGCCCACCAGGCTCCTCCATCCATGGGATTTTCCAGGCAAGAGTACTGGAGTGGGGTGCCATTGCCTTCTCTGATTGTTTTATCTAAAAAGCTACATTTTCACCATGCTTAAAATTGAGCAGTAACAACCCATTTCCTGAGATACCAAAGTCTGGGTCTTTGGTATGAACCACGGATAAAGGAAAGGGATGGTGAGAGAAGCCCAGTTTGAGGTCAGTTGTAAACTCAGATTTAAGGGATTAGTTTATGTAACAGGTCACATATATTTTCCTAAATTGATCAGATCATGAATTTCTAAAAAAATAAAAAGATTTTAATACTTGACATGGTTGGTAGGAAGTAGAGGTGATGTCACAACTGACTTCACACAGGTGCCTCCTACACCCCCACCTAAAAAACCTCCCAAACCTGGGGTACTGTCACTTCTAGAACCATAAGGTGAAGAAGTCACATCTCAATAACCTACATAATCGGGGAAGAAAAAAGTATGGTTTCTACTGGTACAGGCCTCTCAGAAAAGAAAAGGAATTGTTCAAAACTCTGGGAAGTGCACTGAGCAGAATCATGGCTCAAGAGCATCACAGGAGTTCTGTTGGACTACTTTCACCACAGACTAGACAGGTGGCAACGCGGGGCTCGGCATAAACACAGCGCGAACAGAAAACATGAGCTGCCTGCATGGTCAAGGTTACTCCCAACTAAGTAAGTTCTTGCTGTGCGTCTTGCTTCGCCAGCATATTCACTGTAAAACATATAACGGACCCTTAAAATAGAAATCGAGATTATAGGCAATATTTTGGAAACCAGGTCTTCCTCAAGCTGTGGAAAAAATCTGGGTGGCCCAGATTCCTTCCTTTCTTAAAATAAGACTGCTTGTCCTCCCACTCTAGGCAAGAGGTGGAAATGTTTACATGGATACATCTGATGTGTTGCCACAGCTCTTAGCAATAAGTCCTTCAAAAGGGCGATCTTTTCCTTCAGTTTCTGCAACAAAGCTCTGATTGTCACGGTAAGCTGAAAAGAAAAGAACACAGCCTAAGTATGCTAGTCCAGAGGTGTGGAATCTCCTAAAAATATCATGTAAATGCTGCTTTACAAACTGATTCCATCAGGGGAAGGCTGGAAGAGAGATCAAGCCTCCCAGTGATAACCTCAAGATTGTATGGAATCTTAACAGTTGCCTGGGCCAGCCACCCATCTAACACTTATACCCAATCCTATGACCTGACCAGGTGGTAAGTCGGTCCATCTATGAACCCTGACTTTGCTTTCACAATCAGTTGAATTCTGGCCCTTAAACATCTACCTTCTGATCCTATTTGTCTACCAGGAGCCACATAAGAAATCGCATGTACCCCATCTTTGCTCACCAGCAAAAACCCCACAGTTCCCTCACCCACACTGCAAAGAACAAGATGTCAAGTCCCATGGCCATCCTGGACAGTCTTCCCTAAACACACTGGTATCCTTACAATCCATTAAAAGTTTTATAGCAGCGTGGCCTTTCTTTACAGGGGGAATGTTAACCACATATGACTCTTTTTTCCAGGAGTATGTGAATTTTCTCCAATTTACAAACCCAGAGTCAAGTTTTGTTTGTGACTCTAAGTGTTGCCTTAAAGGATGGTGGAGAGGTGGCGAGAAAGCCTCTCAGGAATGTTAAAATATGAAAAATAAAATCAACCCTGTAAAGTAAACATAGTCAACCACGGATATAATCAGGGGTATGTTTAGAAAGACAAGACTGTCACAAGTTTCATTTGCTACCTTGTTAAAAGGAACAATTATACAACTGCAGTGAAGTGGGGGCTCTCTCCTTAGATTAGTGGGGTCACACAAGGAAAACACAGCAGAACAGCAGAGGCTGGCCAAGGACGACATACATCAAGCAACCCTCAAAGGTGTCAGCAGCCAAGAAAAATCTAACTGTTAACTCTTCTAATACCTCTGGGAACCACGGAAAAACCACCCACAATGTCTATGGGGAAACGCCAAGGAAGGTAGATCCTTCCTCCTTCAAGAAATAAAGAGCAAAACAGACAAACAAAAGAACAATGAACACACACACATCAGGTCTAAGAGTCTACAAAATTAAAGATCAAAAGCATTTAGCGGATGAAAAAGTATGTAGTCATTAAAAAGTATGAATGACATCTAAATTTGTTAACATACGAAGATACCCATCGTAATTTATTAAAAGAAAAAGAAATCAAGTCATAAAATGCAATGTCACTCACATAGAGAAAAAACAACCCAGGAACTAAAGACATCAAAACATCAAGTGTGGTTATCTCTAAGTAGCGGGATTTCTTAATATTTTATAAGAAAACTATTATTTTCATGAAAAAAAATTCTGTTATGAGAATTTAACAGCAGCTTTCCAAAGCACAGAAAAGGATGAAAGCCTAATTCGTATTTTAAGCTAACACAACACTGGTAATAACAAGCACTGACAGGAGATAAGAGAAAAAAATAAGCCACTTGCCAATCTCCCCTAAGGATTATAAATGTAAAAGCCTCTACAAAATATTAGCAAATTCAGAATTACATTAAAAATGACAGTATGCCATCACCAAGCAGAATTTATCTGAGTAATTTAAAAATACTTTGATGTTAGAAGATCTAATAATACAGCTAATAGTATTAATAACTAAAGTTATTAGTAGTATTAATAACTAAAGTTACTAGTAGTATTAATAACTAAAAATAGAATAAACATATGATTAATACAACACGGGGGAAATTAATTAAAAACAGGACAAAAACAAGGAAAGAAAACTCAGAATGGGTCAGTGCTGCCTTAACAGCAATATTATTTAACTTTGGTCTAGAGTTCTAACCAATGCAATAAGACAAGTTAAAGAAGTACATAAGGGCTGAAAAGAAGGAAATGAAATTATCATTATTTGCAGGTTAAAAATAGTCTATTTGGCAAAGTTAAGAGGATCAACTGAACAATGACTAGAAAAAGGTAAAGAATTCATGGTGGTGATCAATCACAAAATGAAAAAAATTCAGGGCATTCCTAAATTCCAGTAGGAAGAACTCTTCTAAAAATTATTTTTAAACATCATTAACAATATCAACAAAATCTAAAACATATCTAGCACACTGCCTGGCCTTTAGTAACTGCAGGAAATACTGCTGAAGGAATGAGTGAAGGGAAAGAATCAACACCGCAAAAATGTAAACGCTCCCCAATTTAATCTATATACTGCACATCGATCCAAAATCCTGTGTGCAGTGCTTTTATTAGAGAGGAGGTGGTAGATGAGGCACAGCACAAAATTCTTTTTAATAAAGCTACGCAGGGCTTCCCTGGCGGCTCAGTGGTGAAGAGTCTATCGGCCAGTGCAGGAGACACGGGTTTGATTGCCGATCCGGGCAGATCCCACACGCCGTACATGGAGCAACAAAGCCTGTGCACAATGCTGAGCCTGTGCTCTAGAGCCTGGGAGCTGCAACTACTAGAGCGTCCTAGAGCCTGTGCTCCACAAGAGAAGCCACTGAAATGAGACGCCCACCTACCAGAACTAGAGAGCAGCCCCCACCCTCCACAGCTAGAGAAAAGCCTGTGTAGCAATGGAGACCCAGCACAGCACCCCAACCCACCAAGTAAACAAAATAAGTAAAGCTATGCAAAACTGCGGTTAGAAGAGGATAAATGAAGGGAAATATAGAAAGATCAAGCGTATGTGTTACACAGGGGGCCTTAAACAATCAGATGTTAAATCTTTACTTAAAAAACTGCAAGACTATGATGCTAGCAGTTACCAATGGCTTCATTAGTGCAAAAGAACAGAAGGTCCAGAAAGAGTGCAGCTGTGTAAAAATTCAGTGAATGAAATAGGAAACATTTCATACTTGGGTGGGGATTAATAATTTAGCAAATGGGGAAAAATTATAACACGCAAAACAAATTCCAAATATTGTAAAGATTTCTGTGCTCTAAAAAAGATTAAAAAAGAAGAGGAAAGTTTAAAGAAAATTTAGGTAATTAGACAAAGTATTTCTGTTAACATAATCCCTGAGTATGAAAAGCCTTTCTATTATCTCCCTTTCTCCTATAAGAAAAGGCCATGAATAAAAACAGTGATAATTTCAAGTAAAATTTAACAAGTATGTATATTTTGAAGAAGTCATTTATAAAATCAAAATCCAAATTAATAGAAGAAGTATTTGTACCAAATGTGCCAGATCAAAGCTTAATCAAACTTTAGTTAACAAATAGGTAAGAAACACTTGGAAATTAAGAAATAATAAGCTAGGTTAAGAATATGTATAGGAATGTAACAGGCAATTCATAAAGGAAGAAATACAAACATCCAAAAAATATATTAAAAGATACTCAATGGCATAAGTAACTTTTAAAATGTATATTAAACCACTGTATACTTAACAGAGAAAGATTTTTTTAAAGTTCATCAGAATTGGTATAGACATGTGAATCTGAGACATTTTTAAAGTGCTTAAAATTTTATACAACCTAAATCCAGAAAGCCTACATTGAGGAATTTAATCTAACCTGGGCAATAATTCAGTCATACGGAAAACTCATTTTTATAATTCAGTTCAGTTCAGTTGCTCAGTCATGTCTGACTCTTTGCAACCCCATGGACTGCAGCATGCCAGGCTTCCCTGTCCATCACCAACTCCCAGATCCTACTCAAAGTCTTGTCCATTGAGTCAGTGATGCCATCGAACCATCTCATCCTCTGTCGTCCCTTCTCCTCCCACCTTCAATCCTTCCCAGCATCAGGGTCTTTTCCAATGAGTCTGTTCTTTGCATCACGTGGCCAAAGTATTGCAGTTTCAGCTTCAGCATCAGTCCTTCCAATGAATATTCAGGACTGATATTCTTTAGGATGGACTGGTTGGATCTCCTTGCAGTCCAAGGGACTCTCAAGAGTCTTCTCCAACACCACAGTTCAAAAGCATCAATTCTTCAGTGCTCAGCTTTCTTTCTAGTCCAACTCTCACATCCATACATGACTACTGGAAAAACCATAGCCTTGACTAGACGGACCTTTGTTGGCAAAGTAATTTTCTGCTTTTTAATATGCTGTCTAGGTTGGTCATAGCTTTCCTTCCAAGGAGCAAGTGTCTTTTAATTTCATGGCTGCAATCACAACATGCAGTGATTTGGGAGCCCCCCCCCCCCCCACCAAATAAAGTCTCTCACTGTTTCCATTGTTTGTCCATCTATTTGCCATGAAGTGATGGGACCAGATGCCATGATCTTCATTTTCTGAATGTTGAGTTTTAAGCCAACTTTTTCACTCTCTTCTTTCAATTTCATCAAGAGGCTCTTTAGTTCTTCTTCGTCTTTTGCCATAAGGGTGGTGTCATCTGCATATCTGAGGTTATCGATATTTGATATTTCTTCTGGCAATCTTGATTCCAGATTGTGCTTCATCCAGCCCTTAGTCAAGTGGTTTATTGGGCTTCCCAGGTGGTGCTAGTGGTAAAGAACCCACCTGCCAATTCAGGAGAAGAGAGGCAGGATAGATCCCTGGGTTGGGAAGATCCCCTGGAGAAGGGCATAGCAACCCACTCCAGTATTCATGCTTGAGAATCCCATGGACAGAGGAACCTGGTGGGCTATAGTCCATAGGGTTGTACAGAGTCGGACACGACTGAAGTGAGTTAGCAGAATGGTTTATCATCAGAAGATGATACTGGCTGAACGGATCAGGGATCTAAATGTAAAAAATGAAACCATGAATTTGCTAGAAGTCAGGAACAAATTCCTTTATAATCTACAAGTAGCAAAAGCTATGAGTGAAAATGCAAAGGCAATTAAAAATTGATAGTCAACTTTATTTAAAAACAAAACAAAACTAAAACTTCCATATGACAGAAGCTACCATGGACAAAGTCAAGCAACAAATGATAAAGGAGAGGAAATAATTACAATATATCAGAAAGAGCTAATCTCCCTAATACATAAAGAGCTCTTAAAAATTAAAAAAAAAAAACAATAATCCAATAGAAAAATGGGCAAAAGACAGGGAACTAATTTACAGAATATATATATATCTATGTGTATATATATATATATATATAGTGCTTAAGAATGTGAAAACGTACTTCATATCATGAAAAATGCAAATTTAAAACTACACTGGAAGGTGAAGGAGATTAAGAGGTACAAACTTCCAGTTATAAAGTAAGGAAGTCAAGGGAATATAATGTACAGCATAGGGAATATAGTCAATAATACTGTAATAATTTCATATGGTAAGATGGTAACTAGACTTATCTGGTGATCACTGTAATGCACAAAAATATCAAATCCCTATGCTGCATACCTGAAACCAATATAATATTATAATTCAATTATGCCTCAATTTAAAAAATAAATAAAATTACACTAAAATTTTATCTCACTTCGGTTGGCAAAAATTCAGGAAATTGACAACGCCCTCTGCTGGCCAACCTGGGAAGCCAAAGGTGACAACCCCTGTGGAGAGTAATTTGGCAACAGGTTAAAAAAAAAAAAAAAGAAATCACAAATGCCCTGGTTCTGAGAATTCACTCTTAAAAGAATCTCACCAAAAAAAAAAAAAATCGCAAAGCTATTTATTGCAGCATTATTCTTAAAAGCAAAATACAGGAAACAATCTAAATGCCTATTCTTAGGAGACAGGTTAATGAACTACAGTACACACAATAGGTGTTTCCTTGGTGGTTCGGTGGAAAAGAATCTGCCTGCCAATGCAGGAGACTTGGGTTAGTTTCCTGGGTCGGAAAGATCTCCTGGAGAAGGAAATAGCGACCCACTCTAGTATTCTTGCCTGGGAAACCCCATGAACAGAGGAGCCTGGTGTGCTGCAATTCATGGGGAAGCTAAGGAATCAGACACAAGTTAGTGACTAAACAACAACACACAATAGAGCACTATAAAGTCCTAAGAAAAACCAAAAAGATCTCAATGAATTAATATTTCTCTGATACTACTGTTAAGTGAGAGGAGCAAGATACAAAAGAGTAACAAGGAAGAGAAATGAGAATACACACACACACACACACACACACACACCTGGATGCTTATTTCCACAAGAAGTAACCCAGGAAGAATAAATGAGAAATTAAGTTTAAAAAAAAAAAGGATTACTCTAAGAAGAAGTTGAAGAAGGCATGAAAAAGGGTGGAATGGAGACAAGTCTTTAAGTATACCTTTGTATATAATACTGACTTCTGTACTATATAAATGTTTTACATATTTAAAATTTAAGGGCAGGGAAAAAAGCAAACCCTGAAAATGGACATCAATCGATACAGAGAAGAGCATAAGATACAGAAAAAAATAATCAATTCTCATATCTTTAGAACAGAATAACCTTAGTAATCTTAGTGGGATATTCTAAATTATAAAATAACCATAAAGAGACTCAAACTACACTTAGTATATGTAGTGGCACTTGTGTAATGATTCTGAAAACTTTTTTGTATAAACTATAAGAGAGACCAGGCTTCCCATGTAGCTCAGTGGGTAAAGAATCCACCTGCAATGCAGGAAGACTCCGGTTTGATCCCTGGGTCAGGAAGATCCACTGGAGAAGGGATAGGCTACCCACTCCAGTATTCCTGGGCTTCCCTGGTGGCTCAGCTGGTAAAGAGTCTGCTCAGAATGTGGGAGACCTGGGTTCAATCCCTAGGTTAGGAAGCTCCCACAGAGAAGGGAAAGGCTACCCACTCCAGTTTTTGGCCTGGAGAATTCCATGGTCTCTATAGTCCATGAGGTCACAAAGAGTTGGACATGACTGAGCAACTTTCACTCGTATGAGAGACCAAATGAGCAAGAACATATCAATGCTTTTGGAAACCTGGGTTCTCAGTGCAGGAAAAGGAAAACACTAATTTGGAATGGGGAAGTTACAAAGAAACCTGTGATGCTGGATTAGAATCAAAGGAATTGGCATGGACTCAGGATTTGCTGAAAAAAACCTTGCCAAATCCCACCACTGTCTTTTTTACAGCCCAAAAGCGAAGGATGATCATGTTTAAATGTAAAATGTAAAAAAAAAAAAAAAAGACTATCATCATTTTGTTGAGAATGGTTACTCAGAGAGGTAAGAACTTGCCTCTTGCTCTGCAGAGCCTGATAGATTTACCACCTGGGGGAGAGTGTACCAACTCTGGACCTAGACTATAAAACTGTTAGCAGCTTTTAAGATAAAATAGGAGAAATTAAAGAGATGCCCTGCTTCATTTGGTCTCAGTGATGAAGTTAACCATGAATGGACCGGTTGTAATGTCCATTTGACCTATGGCAACCCACTCCAATATTCTTGCCTGGAGAATTCCATGGACAGAGGAGTCTGGTGGGCCTACAGCGCATGGAGTCACAAAGAGTCAGACATGACTGAGTGACTAACACACACAGGTTGTTATACATACAGCCTCTGAAAGGGGAGGGTTTTCAGACCTCAGAGCTCAAACAAATCCTCTGAAGGGCCCAGTCTCTCCTGGCCTTACCTTGGTTGTATTTTCACCATTTCTTTCATACTGATTTCGCTGCTGAACTTTCTCGGCAATCTCTTGTGCAATTTGGCAGGTAGAATCGTAGGTGGAGAACCTGCGTCAGAGTCATAAAGAGAGAGATGCGTTGAAAGTTCCTTAAAGGAAATTTCAGCGTAATCTAACGTTGCAGTTTGTAATTCTAGTCATGACAGCGAACAGGAAGGGAGGATGATCAGAGGGGCAGTAAAGGCATACACGCGGTGAATGGTAACTCATTATGGGATGGGTTCCATTCTCAACTCTTCCTTTGTAATAACTCACTCCACCCACACAAGAACGCTGGGAGCTGGGTCCCCATCCCCAGCATATACTTGAGAAAAATCAGGCAGAGGGAGGTACAGCCACTTGCCCCATTGGTACCTCCAGCTGCAAACCCCAGCTGCCTGGCCCCAAGCCTGTCTGTGCTCCTAACCACTGTGCTCTCTGGCCACTGATCAAGCATCCCAATGCATTCATTCACAAAACATTCAGCAAACATTTCTGGAGGCCTAGCACAGCTCCAGGCATGGGAGAATACAGCAATGAACAATGAACTCAAGAGACCCCACAGAGACTAAGACAGAACTGTGTTTGAGTGTCTCCTGTGGAGGTACGGGTCAGCAGTGGACTGCCGCAGGGGCAGAGGCTCTGGGTGCAGCAGACCTGCGTATGGCATAAGCCCTATTGGAGGAGGTCGCCATTAAATCCAACATAGAGCTGCCAGAACTTACACAGGACTAGGAAAATAGACTCTTGGAGGGTACAAACAGAACCTTATACCAGAACCTCACCAGGACCCAGGAGAAAGGAGCAGTGACCCCAGAAGAGACTGACCCAGACTTGCCCAGGAGTCTCTGGCGGAGGCGTAGACCAGCCTGCTGCAGGGCTGGGGGCAGTGAGTGTGGCAGTGCTGCATGGGACCTTTTGAAGGAGGTCTCCATTATCTTCATTACCTCCACCATAGTTTGGCCCCAGGTAAATAACAGGGAGGGAACACAGCTCCACCCATCAACTGAAAATTGGATTAAAGATCTACTGAGCATGGCCCCGCCCATCAGAACAAGACCCAGTTTCCCCCTCAGTCAGTTTATCCCATCAGGAAGCTTCCATCAGCCTCTTATCCTCCATCAGATGGCAGGCAGACTGAAAACCACAATCACAGAAGCAAAACGTGGTCCACTGGTGAAGGGAATGGCAAACCACTTCAGTATTCTTGCTTTGAGAACCCATGAACAGTATGAAAAGGCATAAAGACAGGACACTGAAAGATGAATTCCCCAGGTCGGTAGGTGCCCAATATGCTACTGGAGATCAGTGGAGAAATAACACCAGAAAGAATGAAGAGATGGAGCCAAAGCAAAAACAACACCCAGTTGTGGATGTGACTGGAGATAGAAGTCAAGTCTGATGCAGTAAAGAGCAATATTACATAGGAACCTAGAATGCTGGGTCCATGAATCAAGGCAAACAGGAGATGGCAAGAGTGAATGTTGACATTTTAGGAATCAGCGAACTAAAATGGAGTGAAATGGGTGAACTTAACTCAGATGAACATTATATCTACTACTGTGGGCAAGAATCCCTTAGAAGAAATGGAGTAGCCATCATAGTCAACAAGAGTCCGAAATGCAGTACTGGGATGCAATCTCAGAAATGACGGCATGATCTCTGTTCGTTTCCAAGGCAAACCATTCAATATCACAGTAATTCAAGTCTATGCCCCGACCAGTAATGCTGAAGAAGTGGAAGCTGAATGGTTCTATGAAGACCTACAAAACCTTCTTGAACTAACACCCCCCAAAAAATGTCCTTTTCATTACAGAGGACTGGAATGAAAAAGTAGGAAGTCAAGAAACACCTGGAGTAACAGGCAAATTTGGCCTTGGAGTACAGAATGAAGCAGGGCAAAGACTAGTAGCATTTTGATAAGAGAACGCACTGGTCATAGCAAACACCCTCTTCCAACAACACAAGAGAAGACTCTACACATGGACATCACGAGATGGTCAATACCAAAATCAGATTGATTATATTCTTTGCAGCCAAAGATGGAGAAGCTCTATACAGTCAGCAAAAACAAGACCGGGAGCTAACTGTGGCTCAGATCATGAACTCCTTATTGCCAAATTCAGATTTAAATTGAAGAAAGTAGGGAAAACCACTAGACCATTCAGGGAAGTCCACTAGACCATTCAGGTATGACCTAAATGAAATCCCTTACAATTATACAGTGGAAGTGAGAAACAGATTCAAAGGATTAGATCTGATAGAGTGCTTGATGAACTATGGACAGAGGTTCATGACACTGTATGGGAGACAGGGATCAAGACCATCCCCAAGAAAAAGAAATGCAAAAAGGCAAAATGGTTGTCTGAGGAGGCCTTACATATAGCTGAGAAAAGAAGCGAAGTGAAAAGCAAGGGAGAAGAGGAAAGATACACCCATTTGAATGCAGAGTTCCAAAGAATAGCAAGGAGAGATAAGAAACCCTTTCTCAGTGATCAGTGCCAAGAAATAGAGGAAAACAGTAGAATGGGAAAGACTAGAGATCTCGTCAAGAAAATTAGAGATACCAAGGGAACATTTCATGCACAGATGGGCTCAATAAAGGACAGAAATGGTATGGACCTAACAGAAGCAGAAGATATTAAGAAGAGGTAGCAAGAATACACAGAAGAACTATACAAAAATGATCTTCACTACCCAGATAAACATGATGGTGTGATCACTGACCTAGAGCCAGACATCCTGGAATGCAAAGTCAAGTGGGCATTAGGAAGCATCACTATGAACAAAGCTAGTGGAGGTGATGGAATTCCAGTTAAGCTATTTCAAATCCTAAAAGATGATGCTGTGAAAATGCTACACTCAATATGCCAGCAAATTTGAAAAACTCAGCAGTGGCCACAGGACTGGAAAAGGTCAGTCTTCATTCCAATCCCAAAGAAAGGCAATGCCAAAAATGCTCAAACTACTGCACAATTGCACTCATCTCACACGCTAGTAAAGTAATGCTCAAAATTCTCCAAGCCAGGCTTCAACAGTACATGAACCGTAAACTTCCAGATGTTCAAGCTGGATTTAGAAAAAGCAGAGGAACCAGAGATCAAATTGCCAATATCCGTTGGCACATCCTCTTGAAAAAGCAAGAGAGTTCCAGAAAAACATCTATTTCTGCTTTATTGACTATGCCAAAGCCTTTGAGTGTGTAGATACCCACAAATTGGAAAATTCTTCAAGAGACAGGAAGACCAGACCACCTGATGTGCCTGTTGAGAAATCTGTATGCAGATCAGGAAGCAACAGTTAGAACTGGACATGGAACAACAGACTGGTTCCAAATAGGGAAAGGACTACATCAAGGCTGTATATTGTCACCCTGTTTATTAAACTTATACATCTCAGAATACATCATGAGAAACACTGGGCTAGGTGAAGCACAAGCTGGAATCAAGACTGCTGGGAGAAATATCAAATATCAATAACGTCAGATATGCAGATGACACCACCCTTATGGCAGAAAGCGAAGAAGAACTAAAGAAACTCTTGATGAAAGTGAAAGAGGAAAGTGAAAAAATTGGCTTAAAACTCAACATTCAGAAAACTAAGATCTTGGCATCTGGTCCCATCACTTCATGGCAAATAGATGGGGAAATAATGGAAACAGTGAGAAACTGTTTTTGGGGGCTCCAAAATCACTGCAGATGCTGACTGCAGCCATGAAATTAAGACTCCTTGGAAGAAAAGTTATGACCAATCTAGACAGCATAACAAAAAGCAGAGACATTACTTTGCCAACAAAGGTCTGTCTAGTCAAGGCTATGGTTTTTCCAGTAGTCATGTATGACTGTGAGAGTTGTACTATAAAGAAAGCTGAGCACTGAAGAATTGATGCTTTTTTTTTTCATTTTTTTCTTTTTTTTTCATTTATTTTCATTTATTTTTATTAGTTGGAGGCTAATTACTTTACAATATTGTAGTGGGTTTTGTCATACATTGACATGAATCAGCCATGGAGAATTGATGCTTTTAAACTGTGGTGTTGGAGAAGACTCTTGAGAGTCCCTTGGACTGAAAGGAGATCCAATCAGTCAATCCTAAAGGAAATCAGTCCTGAATATTCACTAGAAGGACTGATGCTGAAGCTGAAACTCCAATACTTTCGCTACCTGATGCAAAGAACTGACTCATTGGAAAAGACCCTGTTGCTGGGAAAGACTGAAGGCAGAAGGGGACAATAGAGGATGAGATGGATGGCATCACTGACTCAATGGACAAGAGTCTGAGTAGGATCTGGGGGTTCATGACGGACAGGGAAGCCTGGCATGCTGCAGTCATGGGGTAGCAAAGAATAAGACATGACTGAGCAACCGGACTAAACTGAAGAAAGAAAATAAGGCAGGATAAAAGGATCTAGAGAGGCAGGAGAGCAGCTATTTAGGGAAGAGCCCTACAGAACAACAGGTAACATAATACTCTGAGGACAAAGGACACACACCCACCTGACACCAGAATTCTCTCGAAACATATCCTGAGCTTCTATTTGCTATTTAACAGGGGTGGGGGCTTTGAAGGGTTCACAATGAATCTCTAACAACCCCTTAATTTTTCCTTTGCTAACAGCCTTTTCACTTTTTATCTGTTTTGGAAAATATCTAAGTGTGTATACACATTTCATCTCTTCTAAAGGGTGGAGACTATGAATACATTACAGATATATTTTCCAAGACTGCGCCAGTAAACAATATTTAGATCTGCTGTGGAATCTAATGTTCCAATTTTTGTCTGAAAAAAGTAAACAAGCCATTTCTTAAAATCTTTGAATTCATGTGTCACCTGAACACTGAGGGGACCTCTTTTCGAACAAAGAGAAAAAAACAATTTCCAGTCCTTTCCCTGAGGAATCTTACTATAGTAATTATAACTATGGCTAACAACTGAGTACCTGATCTGGGCCAGGTTCTATGCTAAGAGCTTTACATTTTAAATTTAATAAGGATCCAATGAGGTAGTGTAGGAAAAGGCAATGGCACCCCACTCCAGTACTCTTGCCTGGACAATCCCATGGAGAGAAGCCTGGCAGGCTGCAGTCCATGAGGTTGCTAAGAAATGGCAACCCACTCCGGTGTTCTTGCCTGGAGAATCCCAGGGACGGGGGAGCCTGGTGGGCTGCCGTCTATGGGGTCGCACAGAGTCGGACACGACTGAAGCGACTTAGCAGCAGAGGTAGTGTAACCTATGGGGTCTTCCTGGAATAGACCCCACTTCCATGTCTTCCACCTGCCTCTTGTCTATAGAAAAGCTTTAGCCTCCTAGGCCTTCCTTGAGTTTCAAAGAGTGAATTTTGAGAAGAAAATGCAGAAAGAAAGGAAAACAGTCAAGACAAAATAAGAATAGTTTAGCCATTAAGCAAAGTCAAGGACCTTTATCTCCTCCTCAAGGGTTGTATACAATATTCTGAGCCGTGTCCTTCAAGCTGTCTTGCAGATACTGAATCCCCCACCAGGCAGACTTTTAACTTTCCCCCGCTTCGCCCCCCACCAAGCCTGTAGAACTCAAACGGTTTTGGAACCATAAGGTTGATGATGCTGATTCTTGATTACCTCACCACCACCTAATTGGAAGAATGTCCACGAGCTGATCACGCACCCCACAACCTCCCTCCCTCATCCTGTCTTTAAAAATCTTTCCCTGAAAATGAAAGCGTTAGTGCCTCAGTCCTGCCCGACTCTTTGAGACCCCTTGGCCCGCCATGGGGCGTGGGGGGTGGGGACCGGAGGGGCGGGGAAGGAATTTGGATGTGTTTGGAGCCGTGGCTACCAGGACGCCTTGCTTGGCAGCGATAAACGCTGCACTTCCCTTCACCACCACCAGGGGTCAGTAGATTGGCTTTACTGTGCGCTGGTGAGCAAACTTGGTTCGGTAACAGGATTAACTCACATATATATTCATGTATACCACAAGAGAGCAGGTGATATAAGCCAATACATAATTAAGGAAACAGGAAGCTGATAAGGAAAATGGGGTGCTGGTCCCAACTTTGCCACATTTCCCCCATTTCCCCTCCATGGCGTCATCAATGAAGAGAGGCTCTTAGGTCTGACTCTGCGGTCCCAGACCACATAAATACAAATCAATAATTAATAAGGTGTAACACACCTCCTGACAGATGAGGAGTAGAAATGACAAGTGCGTATTTCCGGAGTTTGGAAGTGAGAGAAATTAGCGGCCGAGACACTTGGACCTGATAAGGCTGGGCCAAGAGGTTATACCTTGGGCTGAACTACAAGGTCAAAGCAGGCCTCTCACTCCAGCAAGAGGGAGGAGCACCTTTGAGAGGAGGTGAGAGGCCCAGGAAGCAAGCAAAGATGAAAGGAAGGGAAAGGGCCCGGCGTGGTCGGCTGAGGGCTAGTCCTGGGTAGGAGAGTGAAGAACAAAATGGTGGAAAGGAGTTGAAGTCTCTGCAGAGCCTTGAGTAGCATGATAATAAGGTTTGAAAGGAATCTGAGAACTGTGGGGTAGACTTTTACAGAGAAAGTGAGGCCTTGAAGAGGTTATGGGAAACGCTTGCGGCCAAAACCCCAGTTTTCTTGCTCCTAATCCTTGTGTTCTCACCTGAGCTCTACAAACTGGTTCTCAAATTCTGCTGCACATGTGAATCACTGGTCTGCATGTGCTCGGCTGTGTCCAACTCTTTTGTGACCCATGGGTTGTAGCTTGCCAGGCTCCTCTGTCCACAGGATTTCCTGGCAATAATACTGGAGTAGGTTGCCGTTTCCTTCTCCAAGGGATCTTTCTACCCAGGGATCCAAACTGCATCTCCGGCATCGACAGGCAGATCCTTTACCACTGAGCTACCTGGGAAGCCCCTTGAATCACTGGGGACGTTTTCAAAAGCGTCCTCATACCCCAAGCATTCACTGAATTAGCAGGGGGCTTGCCCTAGACATGAGGAGTTCTAAAGCTCCCCAGGAGATTCCAATCTATAGCACAGCTTGGGAACCACTAGCCTAGTGGTAATGGGCATCCTCATGATGGAATCAGCACACAGGTGCCTAAAGTGCTAGTTTAGTAAAAGTAACCTGAACTCTACCTACACAAATCATTGGGAATGAAAGAAGAGTGGCAGGAGAACAGTAGATGACTTCTCCAGCTATTCAACTCCATAACCAGCCACCAACATTTACTTTCTGTAAGCCATAAGGCTATAAACGATTGGACAACAGCAGAAAAGAAGAAAATAAAAATAGTGGAGATGAGTTAATAATCTGATAGGAGGAATGAAGAAAAAGTAAATGACTGGAGTTTTTTAGGTCTAAGAGACTAAGAGGATGGTGATGCCATGACAGAGGCTGAGGAACTGGAATGGAGAGGGAAAAAGTGGTAAAGCTGATTAACTTTTATCAAAGAGCCTGATCAGAGACAGTCATCATGTGATATTTCTATTACACAGTGAGCTTACCATTTGCTTTGATATGCCATTAAAAGAGTAACAGTCATATTCTACTTCTAAACATGAGTAAAGCATCACTGCCATGATTCTCGACAGCAGGAGGGCTAAGCTGTAATCAAGTCTGTTTTTCTAGATTTTTCTAAGTCCTATCCCCTACTCCTTTCTGCTCTCCTGATCAGCAGCCCACTTTGCAAGGAAGTTGACTGAGCACAGCAGAGTGCCCCAGTGTTTCACTTTCAACAAACATGAGAAAGCTGCTAAGTTAAACTACTTGAGAGGAGGAGGAGAAATTATCAGTGCTTTTCCGCATTAACCACGGACGAGGCCTAGGGGTTTGGGGATAGTTTCCACCCACCTAAATGGATACCCTGGGACTGCTACCTTATTTCTAAGCTATATATCCTACTTTATGTGTAAAATGAGGGAATTAGCCTCCATGAAGTGGGAGGGCAACTTAGTCATCTGTATCAAGGGTCTTAAAGATGTTCATACTCTTGGACCCAGGAGCTCCACTTCTAGGAACTAAGTCAAGGAAGTGAGAGATGGTACTAAGGGGCCATCTTCCCAATTAAAAAAAAGAGCAAAAAAACCCTAGTATTTTTTAAAAAGATACAAAGAGGGGAATGATTAAATCATACTGCATCATGGTTATTCTCATGATACACTATTAAGCAACATAAAGATTGTTTTTGGTGAATATTAATGATACAGAGAAATGGTCCCTGTTTCTATAAAATACATTATATACACACATATATTATACAAAATAAAAAATTCATTTAAGAAGTCAACAATGGCAATTATTCCAGATGACAGAATTAAAGATGGTTTTTTTTCCCCCCTCTGCAAATATTCAGTATTTTCTGAATTTTTCTATCAGGGTGTTAAAATTAGGTGAAAAAAAAAATAGTATGGAATCAGTTAAGCCATTGGTCCAGACAATCCAGATCCTAGGTAGATTAACTTTGATCTTGCAAAGTTAATCTCTTAATATCCAGACTGCAACTTAACTATAAACTATGTTAGAAGTACTAAAGTGAGACATATTCTCCAAAAAGAACCGTGTAGAGCTAGAGGGTTTTTAATTAGTAAACAAAAAGCTCAAGTGAATATGCTATTGCAATAGGTTCCTTGGATCGGAATTTGTGTCTTTCATCATTCAGTCCGAGGGACTTGACTGTAGCAGAAAAGACCCTTATCAGCTATTGTTTTACTGCGTAAGTTGCTGCTGTAGACAGTCTTCATGATACTGAGGTGAGGATAAAATACCTTATCAACAACCAGCATAATTTCCTTCCCAGATTCCTGTAAGCTTTTTTTGAAGGGCTCACAAGATCTAGACCCCAGCGTCAACTGGTTACTAACTCGCTGACTCCCGTGAATTCTGAACCTCCGTTTCGCTATAAGGAAATAAGGAAATTCACCAGAGGGACTGGTGTTCTACAAAAAAAGGTTACTCTGACTTCACTTTCACAGGAGTCCCGGGGAAGCCTACATCAGCCAGTTCCACCACCAGGATGGAGATGCGGCTCAGAGATTCGGCGTTGGAACTCCCCCAAGGGTCCACCGCGTCTCCCAACCCAGCCACCCCTGCAGGACCGAGAGTGTCGGCGGGATGCGGCGAAGCGCAACCCCTCAACCCCCGGCTCTCGGCGGCAGGAGGATCCCTGCTCCCCCACCCCTCATTCCGAAAGGCCCCCGGCCCCAATGCCTAGCGATCGCCCGCTCCCCGGAAGCCTGGTCTCCCCCGAGACCGTCCGCGCGCTGCCGCTCTCAACCGGGGCTCACCAGGGGTCCGGGGCCATGGTGCAGTCTCCACCCGCAGCTCGGACACTTCCTGCTCGCAGCAGCTGACTACGGCGGCCCGCGCGGCTCACACCCCGCGGCTCGACCCGTGCGCGCCCGGAACCCGGAGTTTGCAATATACATACCCTAAGGCCTCCAATCTACTGATAAGAGAAAAACGAAAGCGCTTCCCCGGGGACTGAGGGCCGGACCAGTTTGCCTCCTTTAAGAGACGCAAACAAAAAAAAGAGAGAGAGAGAGAGAGACGCGAACAGCTGGGTGCAATTAAAATAAAATTGTTTTCGAACAAAAGCCAACCATTTTTCCCGGAAGGTGGGAGCCCCTTAAGACCTCTAGCAGTTAACATTTTATTCTGCTTAAAACAAAGAAAAAAAAACTGGACTGTGGTGATAGTTGCACAAATTGTATAAATTTACTAAAACTCACTTTAAGTAAATTTTAGGATATGTAATTTATAACTCAATAGTTTAATTATTTTTTTAATCCTGCTTCAAGGGACCCAAAGAAGTGTCAATTATATATTATAGCAGCATTCCCAGCAGAGGCATTCCTTTATGTTTAATTTTTAAATGCCATTAAGTAATTGATTATATCGTTACCCAAAAGGTCACAGACTCTTTACATGGGGGAGGAGGGAATTAGTCTGTGGATTTCGTACCCCTTAAATTTCCAGAGAAATACTATAAAGTTTAAAAAAAAAAAAAAGCCCTCTCTTGATTTTCACGATGGCAAAAGGATACGGACTCGGTAGGCCGGCTTTCAGGGCGACCGTGGATCTGGCGCGCATGCGCAAGTCCGTTACCATAACGACCAGAAGACGCTACACCTCTGTAGGCTGTTAGGAAAGGGAGCAGAGTCTCCAGATGATGGAGGCCCAAACTTCGCCCAAGGATGAGGTGGCTGAGGCAGCGGAGCTGGAGCTTGAGGCCGTGATCGGATTCAATGGTGAGACCTCGAGCATGTCTGGGCTAGGTGGTTTAGCGGCCCCAAGGGCTGTGTGGTGCAACCAGGGAGAATGACACCAGGTGGCACCTGGAAGGCAGCTTGGGACGCTGGCATGAGTCAAGCACTGGGGACCCAGACAGCCTCTCCTCCCCAAAGATCTCAGAGTCATGTCCTCGCTCCAGGCCTTAAAGAACGGGATGGGTTTTGCAAACCTCTGAAAGGAACCAAATGCCCCCTCACTAGGCCATAAGTATGAAATCTTTGTGTGTGATCTGAAACCCTTCTCCCACTAGCCAGCTCTCCCCTGGCTCTAAGCCCCACACAGCCAGCAAAACTGCTTGCCCCTCAGTATCGGATTACAGAATACTTCTAGGTCCCTCGGACCAAGTAACCTCTAAAATCCCAGTTGATGTACTAATGAGAAGGGTCTGGAGGGAGTGGGGAACTTGTGTTTTGAGTAACCACTTTAGGGGATTATTTGTCTTCTAACCAGAAGGAAGGTGAGGATTTCAGACCAGGATTGACACCAGGGGGAGCTGGAAGGGAGAGGTGCTTTGGTCAGAGGGGCCTGGTTGTTCTGCTTGAATCTGCCTTATGACCACCTCCTGTCTGGAACATGAAGAGGGGAAATGCTGTTTGGGTTTTGAGAAGGATGAAAACAAGTGATGGATTGTATTTTAGAAAAAGCCAACTTTTAAAGAAAGTGCATTGTGATGCCTGAAAGGTTTAAAATTGTAGTAATATAGACACAGAACAATCAATAACTAAAGCTTTAGCACATTCTAGGACTTGGCTCTTGAGTCTTCTCTTTGTTTTATGTTAATAGTCTCTGATAGAAATTGGGCACTTAGTACATCCTATATACTGGCCATCTTTAGAGCTGGTCACCAGATCATTGGTAAACAAAGTGAGTGAGCTGCTATGAGGGCAAAGGATCACACTGGTGACCAGTAGAGCCCTGCTACTGAATTCATACTATTTTGTAGTGCTCAGAGTACGGTCAGTTATATCTCAGTGTCTCCAATTATCTTGGCCTTTTAAAATTCAATAAAATTGAGTTGTTTTTGCCTTCTTGGTTTTGTGACAATTTATATTCTTTCATGTAGTCAAATATGCATTTATCTAAAATTACTGAATGCCAAGTAGTATGGTGGGCTTCCCAGGTGCCTCACTGGTACCGGTCAATGCAGGAGACACCAGATGTGAGTCCCTTCCTGGGTTGGGAAAGTACCCTGGAGGAGGAAATTGCAACTCACTCCCATATTCTTGCCTGGATAATCCCATTGAGAGAGGAACCTGTCCATGAGGTCACAGAGTTGGACACGACTGAGCACACACGCACATGTGCAAATAGTATGCTATGCACTGAGAATATAGAGTAATACAGGGGGTAACTCCACAGTCATACTTAAGAACAAGAGCTTAGAAAAGTATAAAAATACAGTGAAACCCAAGGAAAAATCAACCATTATTACTTGTCCCAAAGATATCTCTGTTAAACTTTTGGTATGATCCTTTCAAACATACACTGACATATAATTTTTTAATAAAAGTGGATTCCTGCTGTATATATTCCCTTATAACCAGACTTTTTTCTACCTAGGATGCCCTGAAAATCTTTCCTTAGCAGTGAATATACTCTATACCAGCCTTGTCAGCAGAGTAAAATTACCTAATACTGCCCAACCCCCAAACGCACACACTTATTTTAGTTGAACTAAGGCTTATTTTAAAAGCCTTATGCTCTGAGACAAGTGCTCGGGCCTGGTGCACTGGGAAGACCCAGAGGGATCCGGTAGAGAGGGAGGTGGGAGGGGGGATCGGGATGGGGAATACATGTAAATCCATGGCTGATTCATGTCAATGTATGACAAAAACCACTACAATATTGTAAAGTGATTAGCCTCCAACTAATAAAAATAAATGAAAAATAAAATAAAATAAAAGCCTTATGCTCAGTCTAAATAAAAACAACTAGCCACTTATGCCCTTGACTTTTATTATTTTCAATCTCTCTTTTAGGGCATGTCCCCACTGGTCTAAAATGCCATCCTGACCAGGAGCATCTGATCTACCCTTTGGGTTGCACCATCCTCATCCAGGCAATAAATACTCAAGAACAGAATTTCCTACACGGTCACGGCAACAATGTCTCCTGTGTGGCCATCTCCAAGAGTGGACTTTACATTGCATCTGGACAAGTCACATTCATGGGCTTTAAGGTGAATATCCTAAAATACCATCCACTGTGTATTGATTTAGAGGTGCCTCCCAAGAAAAACTGCCTCACTTCAGAATAGCTCTGTGCTGTCCTGTTTACACCCTTCCTCCTCTTCCCTTGACCTCTCTTAGAACTCATTTTCGCTCTGTGAGGCTGAAAGTAAAGGAACCCAGTGGTTTTATACCCAATGCAGCAGCTTGTGACTGGTAATACCTAGAAACAAAAGTCCCCGCTCACACCTGTTTCTGTTCTGTTGCTGTCATGTTCGGAAGATGTGCTCTAATTTCTAGAAAAGTGATGAATGATTATTTTTTCACACAGAGGGGTAGCTCTCCCCTCTGGTTCTTTCAAAGCCTGTCTATGGTCTGACTGTGTATTCTTGCCCCCAGGCAGATATCATTTTGTGGGATTATAAGAAAAGGGAGCTGATGGCTCGGCTGTCACTTCACAAGGGCAAAATTGAAGCTCTGGCCTTTTCACCAAATGATATATACTTGGTATCACTAGGAGGCCCAGACGATGGAAGGTAATGAACTAAACACACTTACTTCTTTTCTACTAGGCATATTTCTAGACATGTTAACAACTGTCCCCTTTCTAGCATTCTCTGTTTGCCTATCCGTATTTGAGCATGTGTGATGTGAAAAGCTTATGAAGCTCATATGAATTTGGGAAATTATAAATTTTTGGTGAAAGAGTTTGAATTAAGCTGAAAAGACAGAAACAAATAACAAAGAAAATAATGTAACTATGAAAGTAAAGTACCTGCATATACATGTAGAACCAAACAACTGGGGAAAATGTTATAAAAAACACGTGTTAACTTTTAGTGGCCATCGATAATTTATAATATTTATAAATTTTTAAAGACTTAAAGTAGCACTGAAACAAGTATACTATCAAGCGTGAAACAGATCACCAGCCCAGGTTGGATGCATGAGACAAGTGCTCAGGGCTGGTGCACTGGGAAGACCCAGAGGGATGGGATGGAGAGGGAGGTGGGAGGGGGGATCGGGATGGGGAACACATGTAAATCCATGGCTGATTCATGTCAATGTATGGCGAAAACCACTACAATATTGTAAAGTAATTAGCCTCCAACTAATAAAAATAAATGGGAAAAAAAAAGACTTAAAGTGCTTATAAAGAGTCCCCCAATGAGTTGGGAAATTTATATGCCCTATATTAAGAAAAAGCACAGAATAAAGAATTCTACTTATATGAAACTTCATCTGTATGAAAAGACTGCAAAGAAAAATGGTGAAAATTAAATATTCTGAAATATTAAGCATCAGAAGAAAAAAAATTTAAAAGCCTGTGAGGAAAATACCATAGGGTGCTGATTCTCAAGCCTGGCAGTGCACTGAAATCAACTGGGAGCTTTAGAAAATTACTGGTGGTTGGGTCCACCTTCAGAGACTTTGATTAATTGGCTTCAGTTTTAGTAGTTCTAAAGACTTCCCATGTGATCCTAATTTGCAGCTAAATCGAGGATCATTGCTGGAAAAGATGACATCATCCTTTTCATCATCAACCATAGCTGATTTTATTTTTTTTTTTTTGAGCGCTTACTATAAATCAGATGTGTGCCGAGCATCTTAACTGCATTATCTCATTTAAGCCTTATGGGAACTCCACGAGGTGGTGCTCTGGGGCTAGGTGACAAATGAGGAACTTGAGTCACCAGCTGCTAAGTAGCAGAGCTGGCGGACAAACCCTGAAGTGTGACTTCAGAGGTGGCATTTTTAACCTCCCTCACTAAGGCGTGATCTTTGCCCTCAAGGATCTCACAGTCAAGGTTAGTAGGGAGAGAATACATACAAATGATATTGG